TCTCTCTCTCTCTCTCTCTCTCTCTCTCTCTCTCTCTCTCTCTCTCTTCTCTCCCTTCCACATCTGTCTCTCTCTCCAGCAAACAGTTGTCACCCTTTCTACATTAATCTGATAGTGGTATTGATCGGTATAAGGCTGGAGTCACAGTGTCAAGTATACTCTCAGGGCCAAGGCATAACTTTGCAGAAATCTCAAGTCTTTTCTCTGCTCTCCTTTTTTAACGATTGTTTTTTTTCTGGCATTTTTGCCTTTATTTGATACCAAAAAGTTTAGAGGCAGACAGAAAACAAGGGTAGAGAGAGAGAGGGGAGTGGCATGCAGCAAAGATCCCTAGCCAGAATCTAACTGGGGACGTTGAGGTTATGTGACAGGCCTATGCTGTTGTACACAGCTGATTTTTTTTAAGGCCTGGTGTATTCTATACCAACAAATCCAATAAAAATGGCAAAACCAACGTTGGTAAATCTGTCTATTAATACTTTGATTGCTACCTACCATATGCTGTCTGTGGCATTCAGGGTCCAACCACTTTCATTCCTAGACGCAAATCTTTAAAAACAGGTAACAAATATACATTTTAAGTGATTATTTTCTAAAAAAGATAGGTACTGTGCTTTTTTATCTTAGTGGATTTACTGGGGACAAGTTTCTGTCACAGATTAATACATACATGGTGTACTAATGTGTATCTACCAGGACAATGTTTGTGGCATTGACTAAAAATAAACGACAGTGCCCAAGTCCATTGTCATGAAGGAAAATGTCATCCACTGCAATGGTGTGACTCACTGGTTTTGGTCTTTGGCACCGAAGAATAAGCCTTAACAGGGTTTAGCTTCACAGACGATACGTGTTATAGGGTCAATTAATCCTTTGTCTTGGTCTTTTCATAGAAATATCTATTAAAAGAATTGACCAGAGTAACACATTTTGTATTATTGTAGAAGATTCTGGGAAAACATTAGTTCTCTCCATAATGTGAATGAAATGTATTAAATACTGTATAATAGTCAGATTTAGCAATCAAATGTCTCTCATTTTCTTGCCTCATTGGTTCAATCTGGCTGCAGAATCACCCAAATAAATAGAGGAAAAACAATTGTAAACTTGATCCCTACTGTATGTAAACATCTATAAACGAATTGGCTATTATCATTCAGCATTTCTATGCCATGCATGGTCCAGATTCTGACCAGCTGCAGAGGCTTTCCAGTAGACTTGGGTGAATAATTTAGAAGCCTTGTATGCTATTCACATTTACTGCACATCCAGTGCCCCATTCAGTTCTGCTGCTGCCCTCGTAATAGGCTACTGATTGGCCCATTGGAATGATATATTCTAATTCCATTTAGGCATGAATGACTGTATAATGGCAGCGTACGAGAGTGGATGTGGACTGCACCCAGACAATATATATATACAGTATAGTTGTTCCCGAGGCAATGTCTTCGCACCATTGTCAAGGTTATAAACAAAGTACATTCAACGATGGACGTGTTTTTTTTAGTCTGACTGCATTCCTTTGGTGAAATCGTATTGAAAGACACACAAGCAGATATGCAGTATGTGCACACACACACACACACACACACGCACAGACAGTCACAGTGGGATGAGCAGATGTTGTGCTGTTTATCCAGGACAACCTGTCCCCGTATTCCACCAAATTTCTCGGAAATATAAATACGTCCCAGTTTTCACGATGCGTAACACGAATGTCCCCATTTCCTAACAAATTACAAAAACTCTCAGCCTCTCTGTCACCTCTCTGAGCATGT